CTACAAAGATTTTCTAACTTAAAAAAAGTAGAATGAGAAACTAACAGAAAATAGAATTGCTGAATCACAGACCTTGAGAGACAATCGGCCAATCTATCTTTCCTCTCAATATCAAGGAGAGTTATTTAAGACATATGTTTTTTCTAGGAGACAGGGAATGTGGAATGTTAACAATCTTCATTGTCAGAAAACTTCCTTAAATTTCCTCTAAGTGCCTCACGCGTCACTAGAGGCTCATTTCCTCTCGTGAACAGAGGCAAGACAGCTGGCCAGCATCTTCCTTCTGCATCGCCCCAGTTTCTCCTAAGTGTGTCACAGACAGCCTTCTGAGGCAGGAGTGTGAGCCCAATTGGAAACAGGACAGAAAACTCTTTACAACAATCTTGTGGGAAATTGTGTTTTAAACCCAGCTTTGAATGGGGCTATAGATTAGGTCAACAAAGGATCCAGAGTACTAAAGTGCTGTCCCTTGAATAATTGAGACTAATTCTTAAATAGTACTATGGGGTCATAAAACACCAAGCCTGGAAATTAAAGATTTTTATGCCTCATCAAAAAGTCTTTGAATGTAACTCCCTGGCGTACTGCCAAGAGGGGCAGCTCTTTAGGGGGAAACCCTATGCCAAAGGCCAGAAAGGCAGCTGTGTTGTTCAGCTTCTGAGAGCTTCCAGCTCAACACCCACACAAGCTCAATTATGAACAAATTAAAGGGATCCAGACTGAGCATAGTAATTCTGGTAATTGAAATAAATAGAGGAAAGTCTGCAATCAGTAGGAAAAGATTGATTTTCTGGAAAACCCGTAAGTACCAACCCGGTCCCTTAAAGGACACCCTAAACCCTTTGAATAAGCATGGTTATATCTAATTATTTAAAAATAAATTTCCTTTTACTTATCATTTCTGATCTTTCTTAGACATGACCATATCCATGCCAGCAAAAATATACAAAACATAGAGAGGCACAGTACCCTCCAAATATCTGTAGAAGATTCATAGGGTTTAATAACACTTTAAAATGGTACCAGACTTTAATGCCCACATTTTAGAGCAAAAATATGTTACTCAATTCTAGAATTGTTTTATACACATATCTAGTAGATTATCAAATAGATGACTTTTCAAGTATAGAGAAAATTTAGAATCATTAAGAAATTAAAGATTGGGGCTGGGGATTTAGGTCAGTGGCACAGTGCCTGCCTGGCAAGCGGGAAGTCATGAGTTTGATTCCCGGTACCGGGGGGGAAAAAAAAAAACATAAACAATTAAAGATTAATATAATAGCATGTATTAAAGTAATGTTATATTAGTAAAGAACAAAACATGTATCATCATGTGAACAGATCCTTATAATCACTCAATAAAATTCAATGCCCATTTTGGGTTTTAAGAAAAAAGGGAATAATGAAAAAATTGAAGAAGCTCAGAACACAAAGGAGCTTATTTAACTTGATAAAATGTTTTTATCAGGAACCAACAGCAAACATTATAATTAACAGTCACACACACACACACACACACACACACACATACACACATGAAGCATTCCTATTTAACCTTTAAACTCACTTTGATGAGCTGATTTTAAACTTCATCAGAATAAAGATATAAATATATTTGAAGAGTCCAAATAATTTTACCTTGAAAAATGTTTTCTTTTTACAAAGAAAAATCAGAAGATTATTCTATAGATAATCAAAATACAAAGTCATTAGTCCCATGATAATATAAACAGGGTGATCCTGGCCCAGGACAAATTAGTAGTGTATCAAGAAGACTAGAGTGCCTACAAACCCACCCATACATGGGTATAATGGAACTTAGAATTCAATGAAGCTGCATTCTAAATTAACAGGCAAAGGGGGGAAAAGTAAAAACAAAAAAAGTTCTAATAATTTGCTATTTTTTGTGGATAAAAACTCCCACGTCATAAAGCTTGGATATAAATATACTATAGATTGCTTAACATTTTTTTAAAAAAGCATAAGATAACATTTCTAGAAGAAAATACATGATCCCATTTAGAAATCATCAAAATCAAATGAAAGAAAAGTTGGGAATATTTGATTATAAGACTGAATATTTTATGGTGAAGGATACAAAAATCAAACTAAAAAGAGAAAGAATAGATTACAAGAAATTATTTGCAATGTATATGACAATATTCTAAAAAGGAAAGAGGAATTAATATGTGGAAACACTGGCAAAAGACATAAGTAAATAATTGCAAGTTAAAATACAGACAAAAGCACAAAATAAAACCTCCAATTAAGCTTAATTCCACTTAAAAGTGAGGAGAAAAGTAAACTGTACATCATGAGTCATTCATGTCACATTATGCAGCTAAAACAAAGAAGTACACAGCATGCAACAAAGACAGAGCAGAAAACTGGGAGAGTGCTTTGCAGGATATCGGTAACAAACTACTGTTAGACCTCATCTGCATCTGGGAAGGAGATAGAGACAAGGAGGCTTTATTTTTCATAACAGCACTGTCTGTCTTTGGAAATAAAGTGAGAATATGAACATGGAACTCACACCTTTAAAATTCTTGAACATATGAAAGACTTATTAGTATGCAGGTTAAAGTAATAGTTTAGACTCAGTAGCAAAAATGAAACAGACAGAATGACAGCACTGATGAGGTCCAGCAGATGCTGAAGTTTCCCAGAGGTTTTATTTTTTTGAGATAAGAATCTCACTATGTTGCCTAGGTTGGACTTGAACTTGTGATTCTCCTGCCTCAGACTCTCCAGTAGGTGGGAATACAGGTGTGCACCATGACATCTGGCTTCCGCAGGTTTTATAGTGGAGGAATAGCTAGTATAACTTATAATTACAGAATAAATATTGTAGAAGAATTCATCATTTTTATGTTTTTATTTTGAACTATGAAATGGACATTTTTCCAGATCAAAACTAGCACTAATTTGGTATTCAACCTGAATACTTTCAGATTTTTAGAAAGCTTTTGAAAATGAATCTTGATCCTACTGATACTATTACCTATCATTATGAACTCTTCAGCAAATATATTTTTCCTACATTGGCCCAGGGGTATATACAGACAACTAAACTACACATGATGTTGTAGTCGCTTAATCAAACAGGAAACATACTTCCTAATGCTTGTCATTGAGGTGTAACCTGAGCTTACACATTGGGAATGCCAATACATTTATTAAGTTCATCCCATTGCATGTTCTGGGCAGAAAGAGCCGAACCATCCCAGCATGCTCGCCCCCATTGCTTTCTGCCAGGTTGTTAGCTTTAAAGTATATTTCCTGGACAGGGTTAAACTGTGATGATTACTCTAAAATATGTTTTTATAGCATGTTGAGTATTTCCGCTGTATGGTGTGGCTTAGTCAAAGCTTTTAGTTTGGGAGGTGTGCCCTGAAGAAAATAACTCCCAATCCACCCAATTTTGTAAACTGGAACCATATTACTATTATTCTTGTCACTGATGGTATTATGTACAGCAAAATGCAAACGATGACTTCTAACTATAGATATTTTGCAAAGCTGATTTCAATTTAAAAGAGAAAACTTCTCAAAACAATTTTTCAGTAATAAAAAATAAGCTCAGAACTATTTTTTGGCATGACTTAGGTTTTATTTTTTTACAGATTCAATAATGTTTTTTCTCTCTTAAATTAAAATGGATACTGTACTATTTTTTTCTTTTGCAGAAATGTCTTAAAACCATCATACTGGCAACTTTTTTTTTTTAATTAACTGAAGAAAACAGTAATGTATTTCTCCCTCCAAATTAAGAGCAGTTTATATTCATTCATCTTCTTTATAGAGAAACTGGGAAGACAGAACAGGAAATATTTATTAAGGACTTCATAAAAATACATTGCTTCCTAAATTATTAGTAATAACCAATGTCACTGTCATACATTATTCCTTTGGTTTGTCAGAGGTTCATATTTGAGAAAATACCCTGATGACCAGTGCTCAAAACAGCTTACTTGTTAAAGTTTTCTATCTGCCTCTAACTATAGGTGATCAGAGCAAGTGTTTCCTAGCAATTTAGTTAATTTGTAGAAAATAGAATCAATTTCTCTTGCTTTATCATGATTGAACATTTCCCTGAACTCCAGTAAATGAGCAACAGATAAGCACCATTTATCAGATTGTTTGGTACAGTACACAATTTTGATTATTCTATTTTCTTGTTGTTGTTAATGAAATAATATAACATGCCTGGAGAAAAAACAATTGCAGAGGTTGGCCTCTGAGCAGTGAGGAAGTAATAACTATTTTGCTAAGAATTTAGTTTACATACTCTCTCTAAAAGCCCATGGGAGGGCAGCAATGTTCTGGAATATCTGAGATGTCTTTCAGGGTCCCATATCTCAGAGCCTGGAGAACACAGTTGACAGGGGACCTTGGTCTAGGCAGAAAATCCTTGTGGTGCTCAGAACTCAATGGAGTTGTTTAAGCACTGTCGCAGGCTACCTTGATACTCCACACCTGGCACATCCAAGGGATACTGCCTCCCTCCAGTGTCACAGGGTCGGGGTGGGCATTTTAAGAGATGAATCTTCTCCAATGCTGTCTTCCCCAGCCATCACCCACGCAGAAGAAGCAAAGGATGAGGAGCACCACTTGACCACATTGTCTTCTCAGACCCTGAGACAACTGTGCCCATTAGAAATGAAATACACTGGCAGAAGCCAGAGTGCCAATACAAAGGCAGCTGAGTTAAGGATGCTTGTGGCATTCAGAGCCTCCAGAGGGGATCATGCTTTTCTGATCTATTTATGGACCACTTTCTAAAAATAAATCTCTTTCTTTGACAAAGGGATAATTATAATTAAATGTGTGAGAAATGATAGGAAGATAGGATGGCCATATGCCTTCTTCCAGGTGGCTACAGACCTTGCTCTCTGAGGCTTGAGCTGAAGAAACAAGACCTGGACATTCTGGACATTTGGGAAGATAAATTGGCCGAGGCTGGGGAGTGACCTGGATGTCACCTCTGCCTCACTTACCAAGGTCCATGCTCTTCGAGGCTTTCAGGTTAATTGATTCAGGCTGCCTGGCCGGTGTCATGGGTCTGAAGTTGATGTGCTGATCTGCAAAATATACTGCTGAGTCCACCCCAGAGCTATGGACAGAAGCCATGCATCGTGTTGGGGCAGGGGAGGGAGAGAGAGATAGAGAGAGAAGGGGAGAGAGAGAATTAGTTTTCATTTTAACACAGCCACTCATCACCTCTCTCTGTAGCCCATAGCCATGTATTTTAAACCAATTCTCTAAATCTCCGATTTCTTTTAGGAGATGCAGCAACTCTGTTTTCATGTATTTTATCATGGAGTACAATTTAAATAAAATATTCTCTAGCTAATATCATGTTTTACTCTTCACTGACTTCTGCTAATTGGAATCCTGCTGCACCATATATAACTTTAAGTGGGCGAGAGGGGCCTGGGAAACATTAATGCTTCAAAGCACATCACCAGATATCAGCAGAGACCTGAAGTGGGGTCAGAGATACCTGTGGGATCAGTATGCCCTTCCTTAGACACAAGTGACAGGCTAGATCCTTGGAGAAAAACCTTCTAGAATGGCTCTGGTTGAGGCAGTTCAGTTTTCTACCTTATTCAGGTCCATCTTCTAAAACTAATGTTAATGCTGTCCAGACACTGCTCATCATTAATACAGGAAGTCACAAGAAGAACACTGTTGACAAATTAGACGCAAGGTACATCAAATTTTCCTTACAGGCTTTCTGGTACTGTGGCCAGTCTCAAACAATGGTCTTTCTGCTGCATATTTTATTTACTTCTCTTGAAGATGGAAGGGATTATGCAAAGAAATTAACAGAAAATTGCTCATATCTTGATATAGAAATAAATTACATATTTTATAAACTAAATTATAGCCATGTTTTCCCCTGGTAGCTTATCTGTGTAAAAAGTACACAGGTGTCTTATCCCAGCATGATTTCTATCATCATCTCTGACACAGTGAAAACTTAAACCCAGTAACCTCAGAAAATCTGAAAGAGTGACATGGAGTTTTTCAAATAGTCAAGGTTTGATATTTTAAACAAGAAAATAGTGACACTTTCTGGATGAGAATCCTAAAATATACAAAGGAATATTGATGTTAAATTAAACATATCAAAATAAGTTTATTTTTTACACCTATCCATTATGGATACCTAACATTGCCTGATAGCATTGCTAAAATTAATATACAGCAATAATATAATTTCCGAATGATCAGCGGGGCCTCCATTGTTCCAAGGCAATGGCTAGGCTCAGGAAGTGCCTGTGTTAGGCAGCAGAGCACAGTATTTGAAAGCTAGGAAGCCAGAGTAGGTCTGCCCGGTTTCAATCTTGCCTGTGCTACACACTTGCTGTGTGACTGAGCAGATTATCGGACTTCTCTGTTCTTCGATGCCCTTACACCTAACAAAATTATAATTACATATCTCCACCTTATAGGGTGGCTTAGAGGACAGAATAAGCTAAGACTGGGAAAGTAAAAAACATTAGTGTTTGCACAGAGTTAGTGCTGTAGAAATAGTTTACAAGTAAGCAAATAAATAGACTTGTATTTGCTTCCCAAATAACTGCAAGTGTCTCAGCCTTTTCACTGATGTTTTTCAGTTTCCTTATCATTTCTGTTTTTGTCAGACTCTCAGTAGAGCTGTGACTAAGAGAGGCTTGGGGCCTGAGGAGACGTCAAGGTATATGGCCTCCGCCACATTCATAGAGTGTGTAGTAATAGAATCTACTTTATACAGTTGTTGTAAGAATGAAATAAATTAAGATATGCTACATACTAAGAATAGGAATGTTTAGCACATGGTCAGAATTCAGTTGACAGGAGCTAGCTATTAATAATCTTTTTCTTTATTTTGGTGGGCTAGGGTTATCTCTGAGTGAGGGCCTGGGGCACTTTGCAGTGAAAAGATTGTAAATGTTTTCATGAGAATTTCTCAAGTGTTTAAATCCACTCTTTGGAACTAGGCAGCTTTTTTGTGCTTCTTGATGTCCAGGTACATTTTCAACAGATGAAGAGTCACTGAGGTATGACGTATACTGGATGTGGTATCTAGAAATGGCAAAATATGCCAGTTGTGAGAAAAAATGTCTGGCACATTCTAATAGCAAAACTTTCATTTTTCAGCGTACTCTAAAGAATACTGAGATGCCACTGGGAGCACAAGCTTCTGCCTCAGTCCTGCTGTTTTGGGTTGCCTTTAAATGTGTTATCTGACCTTTATTTGCACTTAGTTTTTCATCCTTTGATCTCTTGCAATGATGTGAGGTTAGTGTCAGGAAGACTCAGGGCTTTCACAGAATCAAAAACTTTAAGAGCTGGAAGGGCTTAAAAGTTACCTCATCTTTTAGTTAAGACTCTGGGGCCCAAAGGGGAACTAATGTCCCAAGGTTGCCCAGGTGGCCAAGGGCAAAGCCAGGACCACAGCCACAAGCTTTGGTTAAAATGGCGGCCACCCTGGAATACAAGTTGTTATGACCCTAACTTCAACAACTTACATTCCTGTGAGTGCAGGTCTGCTCACATTGTCTTATGCAACTTGCATTTTAGGTTTCCCTTTTGCTTTAAAAGAGTGGTGCATATCATGGAACGAAAGAAAGCCAAATATTTAACTGAAGCATATGCTGTACATTATTATTATTATTATTAATATTTTTATTATTTGTCTTTTTGAGACAGGGTCTCGCTATGCAGTTCACACTGGTCTTGAGCTCACTTTGTAGCCCAGGCTGGTCTCGAACTTGCAACAATCCTTCTGCCTCAGCCTTCTGAGTGCTGGAATTACAGGTGTGCGTCACCACACCTGGAAATATATGCTGTACATAATAATGAAAGCTTTAAGGAAGGAATTTTAGGGCCAATATGAATATTACTCTTTAAAACAAAGATCATGGCATATTTAAAGTCCCCTGCTCAGGGAGGACTGTGGGGATCTGCCCAGCTGAGGAAAATGTGGTTTCTCCAATTGATTCTTTGATTCTTTTGCTAAACTAGGCAATAACTGATACAATAAAAATAAGAATCCAAAATTTTCCTGACTCTTTGGAAATAATAAACCTCATCCTCATTTTAAAAACAAGATGGCAATGTCACTTGATAGAGTAACATGAAGTTAGGATTAGGCCAAAAAAGTGACTTTATTTTTATACAAATATTAAGATATAATTAAGGATAATCAAAAAATTCAAAGCTGCTTCATACATAAGAATGTAAGAAATATATTATTCATATTATATATGCCTGATTTATGTCTATTACTTTGATCATCATATATATTTCTGTTACCATTATTTTGAGTGTGACAAAATATACACTATAAAAAACCTTAAATAAAAGGATCCCTTTTGCTAGGGGAAAAAAATGGAAATACAAGTAAATCAGATGTGAGACTGGCAGATATTTCAGGATGGAAATGAGTGCAATATAAGACATTATGGGATTAGAGCCAATGTGAGCGTATAGTGCACTGAAAGTGTAGTATTGAATTAGTTAATGTGGAAATAGTTTAGACATGTAATTTAGACTAGTAAAATGGTTTGTAATTTTATGCTACACATCAAAAGTGTTTGGAGTGAGAGGGTGGCACAAGGATTAACTGTAAAATAGGACATAGTTTAATTTGGAAGGGAGTTAGCGCGTGCTCATGGCTGAGTGGGCTGCAGTGGAGGCTGCAGGAAGCTGAAGCTTGACAGCAGGCCAGAGACATGTCCGAGATAAAGGCCGTGTTTTCAGCATGAACAGCCAGGGAATCTATCGAATAGAAATGATACTCAATGTCAAATTATGCTGCATAATGAATAAATAAGGGTAGCGTGGAACATATGCCAGTGTCTTGAAGATGGTGACAAACCAGGGATGTGATAGACACAGAAGAGTCAGCAGGGAATGTTCAAGGAGAACTGTCTAAAATGGAAATGGGAGAAGACTTTGAGAGGCATGCGAAACAAAAACAAGAACACAGTGATGCACAAGAAGAAAAGCGTTGTGCCTGTGCATCAGGTGTCTGTGACTAGGCTCTTGCATGGCGCTAGTACCAGTATTTCCTCGTGTGTGAAGGAGAGGGGGAAGACAAAGAGGGAGAGGAGGCGGAGGGGAAGAGGAAGAGGGAGAGGGAAATAAAAATATTCACACACAAGGAATATTCAAAAGTTGTCTCAAATGTAAATAATATTCAATATATTCTGTCTGCTCTTAGTTTCCTTTAGCCTCTCCCCAGGATCCACAGTAAAAATACATCTCCCTTACATTTATTTCTTTCGACATACATAGTCTCAGTCTTTCTCTCGTAATCACTAATGACACAGTAGAAATAATTTCTTGATTTTATTCTGGTTCAAAGTATAAACATCAAATTTCATCAGATTTCTTCCCCCCTTCACAGAACAGTGATTTTCGGCTAAGATTGGCTCCACCTCTGAAGCACTGCTTTCCCTTTCAGAGGGCTGTGAATGCTTTCAAAGACAGTGCATCTCCTGCTCAGCCCTCCTGGTTCTCCCCCAGTCTGCCCTCCACTCCAGCTTTCACACATCTGAAGCCCAGTTGCTATTGGTTACCTAGGAAACACTGTGGCCTGCAGGATGGTGTGGGTCACCGGTTCCTGTGAAGGGGTGGGGTGCAAGGCTTGAGACTTTCTCCTTCCATCCCAAAAATATCACCACCCTTTCCGGCCCATGCTTGCTTCTTCTCTTTTGGCTCAAGCCCTGTTCTTCTCTTGCTGGTTCCAAGTCTAATGGATTTTTTTTGTCCTTGACTCCCCTCACTCACTTCATCTTTCTAAATCATCAGGTCTGATTCTCTTTAGTGCTTCTCCACTGTTCTTCACAGAAGCAGTGAGCTTGTGGAGCATGAAAGACAATGTCCCAACCACTGACTCTCCCCCAGATGTGGTTCAGACACTCTGTACACAGGATGTGTTCTTTTCTCTCATCACCTGGTGTTTCTGACCTAAGCTGATCTTCCTACCATTTCTCTGGATGATGGGCTCCTTCCCATCCCCCAGCAAATCACTCAAACACTCCATCTCCTATGCAAGCCTCCAGGCAAAGCCAGGGGCTCATTCTGCCTGGATCCTACAGAATTCTGCACCTGATGCTTTGCAGACTACTACATCTATCCTCTTAAAGGACACTGCACTGCCTGCTTACAGGGCAGCTTTCAATCCATTTTAGTACCTTATACAGTGTCTCACTCAAAGCTCCAGAAATACTTTGAAGGATGAGTGAAGGAGTGAATGGCACAATGACCAAATACAGCAGAGCACAAAAGAAGAATACAGTCTGATTATATGCCATACATTTGGCTGAAGAGAGGTCACTATGGATGTTTAACAGAGCAGTTCTAGGAAAGTGGTGAGAACAGAACCTTAAACACAGATTAGGAGGAAGTTACTAGTTGGTACCATGCAATAAAGCTTTATGTCAGTGAGTGACAAAGAGCTTGGATGTTTACTTCCCAAATCTCAGAGAAACATACTTTATGGAAAAGGGAAGGGAAGAAATCTGTGGAGACAGTGAAGAAGCCAGGAAAGCCCTTGCTAAATCCTAGAGATTTCTTCTGCCTTCTCTGTGAGCCACTGTTCTGCCCTGAAGGTCTCTCACTGAGAGCTCCAATGAGAGAGCCCTCATCCCTGTCACGGCGCTGCCCCAGCGGGGGGCACAGGGCCTCCTCCATGTGCCCAGTCCATATTGTACACAAAGAAAACCTAGATGTCTCCAGACCCCTTGTCTGTTCACACCCTACAATAAGATTTTAGGAGGTCTTTAGAACTCATTGTTGCATTATCACCTAGCCAATCACCCAGGATGTGAGCTGCACAAATCAATTTACTCTTCCATCTCTTTACTATTCCTTTTACCTACCCTTCCTCCTCTGAAATTCAATTTCTTCATGAGCATCTCATGCTCATCTCCAGGGATGGGTAAGCTTCAGCTCAAGGTTACTTTTACCATTTTCCCTGATTCCTGTACCTGGAAGCACTCTCCTCTGCTTCAAATGCCCAAGTATTTTAACTATTACAAAATTCAAGAATCCTTTCAGACATTGGAATCTCATTATCACTTTTTTCCACTGGTCTACTGGCTGGTTGAGAGCAGGGTTTCTATCTGACTCAGCATTGTGTCATCCCAGTGGTTCTGCACATACTGTACACACGGGACAAATGCTCAAGTAGAATGAATACGCTTATTAAAATATGGGTTTTTTTTGATATCAATAAACTGTCTTTTTGGGCTGAAGCAAACAAGGGAAATAAATGAAAAAATTAAGTATGTACTCATTTTCTTTTAAGAAAACTACAGAGATACTGATCTGGAACATTACTTTGATTACAAAATTGTATTAAGGTCATGAAATTATATTTGAGAAGAAAACTGATTTAAAAAATATAAGAATTAAAGATAGTATACACACACATAGGTTTTTGTCTAATAGAGTTAGCTACACTCTTGCTGTGTTGCTTTATTTTTAGCAGATTGTATTAAAAAGCATAATGGAAATGACACCAGCATTGCAGCAAGAAAAATGAAGAAATTTCACAGGATTATCATGGGACACAGAATGCAATAAAATACACAGTTTTTAACAGCCATAATAAATACAGAAAATAGCAAAGAGACAATTTAATGATTTTTAAAACTCATCAGAAGAACAAAATCTATGAATTCCACTAGTCAAATAGTATGTATGCCTAGTAAATCTGCCTCCCTCATGCTTCTGTGATTCTAAAAATTATTGATTTTTTAGTTTCTATTATAGGATGGACATAATATTGGGTACCCTTTTCAATATTTTAGATTTTATATGGTGTTACTTTAATTTTTAGATTTCATTAACTTTCTTGGAACATCTATTTTTAAAATACCTTTAGGGTTGGCCAATTATGAAGAAAAAGAAAACCCCACCCTAAGCTCTATGTTTTCTCAGTTTTGTTTTATGCTTTCTTATATAACTTTTCTTTGAGTTCCACTGTTCAAAGTTTTCAAGTTCCAAGTTTTTTAAACTTGTAAAAGAAAATTTATCCCTTCTCTTAAAAATTTTAGGAATATAAAGATGATTCTTAAATTTCAAGAAGCAAATGATAAGCAGTCTAAGCAATCAACTCTGAGAAGCTCTCACTGGAAAGGAATTCTAGATACTGTGAGATTCCCATTCCAGAAAGAAATAGTTAAAATCAGGTTGCTGAGTTTTCCCAGAGAAACCCTAACAGGGAACATTTACAATACATCATTTTATGGATACCTGTAGCTGTAATCTTCAAGGCCCAATTCCAGACTGGGACGTGGTGGCGGAGAGGGTGGGACTTCACACTTGGCCCACTCGTCATGGGGCAGCACCAGGTCTATAAACCAAGAACAAATGAAGCAGTAGTAAACTGCAGGAGGAGCCATTCCGAGCCTGGTTATTTCAGTCCATCTCTGAGACCCAATTTTAACCAACACTTAAACCATGTTTGCAATAAATTGTGCTTCACCTTGAACTGAAGGAAGTATAGGTAGCATAGCAATATTCCTTGTGTGAGAAAATGTGCAACTGCTAACAGGCGTGTCTACCCTGGAGACCTCCCGGGAATCTTTGGCCAATTAGGTCCCTGCATCTTGACTTCTATACCTTTTCTCCCTAGGAAGGTGACATTTACTCATGACTTGTAACTTGTGCAAGATTAACAAAGCCATATCTTCTGTGTCTTGACATTTTTATTAACAAGATTCTAGATGCATTTGATGGGGAAAAATATCCACTCTTTTTTGCATCTTGCCATAATGGAAGCCTTTAGGTTTAAGGTTTTATGAGCAAGCAGAAAACTGGTGTCTGAATCTTTGTTTTCCCACTTAATAAAAACACATAGTTTCCCAGGTTGTTTTCTTCACTAGAAAAATAATATGTATCCTGAATATCACTACAGCCAAGAATAAATAAGATTTGTTGAGATCTTGCATATCAGACATTTTGGTAGGCATTAGGTACATTATTTTATTTAATACAAAGAATACCAATACTAATATATGAAAAGCATTACAGAATATCCAGGTTAAGAGGATGATTTTTAGGGAATTATTATTATTTTTTTTGCTTTTTGTTTTTCTTCCAGTACTGGGAATCGAACTCATGACCTTATGCTTGCTAGGCAGGCACTGTGCTGCTGAGCTAAATCCCCAGCCCCAAGAGGATGATTTTTGGAGTAAATCTGCCATGTTTCCACTCTTGCCTCCTACTGCTGTATGAATTTGGATAAATTACTCAACTTCTTTTGAGCCTCAGTGTTTTAATATTTAAAGGGGGAATAAAAATACCTTCATTGGACAAGTATACAGGTTATATAATATGGCACACAGAGCACTAAGTCAGCATTGGGCTTTAGTTCACAAACAATGAATTCTACTCTGTGTCTATTAAAGCGAAATAGTTGGTAAAAGATGGACCCTGCTTGTCTTTGATTCATGGAATAAGACAGAAATCTCCATCACTGAGAATTGCTGCTGGAAAAAACGTGAGTGTATTTATGGTTTTTATATATTGCTGGGAGTTTCTAGACGAAGCTAACATTTAGATAAATAAAGCAGACTACACTTGCTAATGGGGGTGGGCTGAAGTCTGAGCAGGACAAAAGGTGTGGAGGACCACCTGGGAGACTCTCCTCAAAGCAGGAGCAATTGTCTTTGTTTGGGCTGAGCCTGACCCTATTCCTGTGTACTGACATGTTCAGAGCTGGCTAGGACTTTTCCTCATCCCTTCAATTGGCTTTCAGCAATGCAGATGGGTCCAGCCAAGGTGCTGATGTGTAGTCTTTGAAGATAGCAGGAAATGTTTCCCTGGAAACAAGGGTTCCCTTGTGTGAGCCAGGATGGAGCAGGATAAAGAGCCAATGCTCCGTGCTACGGGCTGGGATGGAGCCTCAAGATAGAGGCTATGATTTCCTGGGGCTTGAAAGATTACACATCAGAGCTGAAGCACCGACCCCAAAACATTAGCTACTATCTCAATTGTGTTATGCAGATTACTCTTTCTGCAGATCCTTCTCTCTGCATACTGCAGAAGTGATTTCAGGCTTCTTACCTACCCCAGCTCATGGCATTCACCTATTTTCCACCATTCTCACAGTCACTCATCCTCAAGCCATACCCTTCTTCATAAATTAATAAAACCTGGGTTTGGACCTGGGTCGAAGCCTTTGCTCTGGATAGCCACCATCGTGCGTGGACTTAGGACCCCTGGCTTCCATAACTACAAATATGCCTTAGTGTCCTTATTCTTGTCATGGGTTGCGCTGGAAGTGGCAGATCAGAATTAACTCTCTAGAATTCCAATAACTTTTTATAGGATTACATATGTAAACTTCCTGGGCCTTGATGAGGACTGGGAAGGATTCTCTATAAAAAGGGGGGCTGTTTCCTGGGCAAGAGAGAATTCCTGCTGGCCTGCCTTCGAATCAGGTGACACCTTTCTCTTGTATCTGCACTGGACCAAAACATTGCTCTTCCTGGGTCTCTAGCTTGCTGGTGTTTGGCTGGAGCCACATGCACTGCTGGTTTCCTTGGTTCTCAGGCCTTTGGATTCATACCAGAACTTCACCATCAGCTCTTCTGGGTCTCTAGCTTTTGAATCGGAGTGTAGATCTAAGGACTTGTCAGCTTCCATAATCTTGTGAGCTACTTCCTTATAATCAACATCTTTATTTATTTATAAACATGTAACACACACACACACACACACACACACACACACACACAGCTGGTTCTGCTTCTCTGGAAAACCCTGATGAATACACCTTGCTAGGGCTTTCTCAGGGTGGCGGCAACTGTGCTAAAATGTCCCTGGGAAGGAGGCTCTCAAGCAGGAGATCCGATGAGCAGGTGTTAAGGAAGAAGCAGCGTGATGAACAAAGGTGGCCAGTGCTGCCGCTTTCATCTCCACCCCCACGATCCAGTGGTTTGGTGGTGTGGACGCACTCAGGCAGGCAGAGATTTGCTAATGGGAAACTGAGCAGAAGGAGAGTACTGCAAATAGGAACTAGGTACACATTGGGAGAACATCCTTTCTTCCAGCTTCAATCTTTCTGTCCTCAACCCCCTAGTCCATCTTCCACACTGGTGGTTAACACAGACATGAACAAGTAAGTTGCTGTATCCAGTTGCCTTCAGAACAGGTCTGTGTCCCTGCAGCCAGCTACCTCTTGTCTTATATGTTAGCTGATTAAGAGTATAGTTTATTCCCTCACCACATCCTTGGGCTTAACTAATTGCAAAATCCACCCTAGCTTCCAATATCTTACCCTTCTCCCAAGGCCTACCTCAAATGACACCTCTATGAAATTTTCAATGTTTCTAGGATCTGTCAGAGATGTTAACAATGACAGAATGCTCTTTTCCTGGCTCTTAGGCTAGTCTTGCCATTGGAATGTGAGTTGCTATGCTGAATTCCATTTCCAGCCTCTCTCTTCTTTCTCCTTCTACTGTCCAAAAACCAAACAGTAAGGTGCTAGAAGATTGTCAGCCACCAATAGAAAGTCCCTTGGGGCCCTTGATCACTGTATGGAACACAGTCCCCTGGAGCATTTGTTATCCTTCTGCAAAGCCTTACTGGACTATGAGGTGACTAAGAAATACACGTTTGTTGTTTTTATTTATCTGCTGACATTTTTAGGTTTATGGACTACTTAATATTACATAAAGTACTTCCTGTATAACATTCATAGCATGCTTCCTTTGCAATTAGTTATGCATTTATTGATCTAACAAGCTAACATCTATGCATCTGTACCTCTCCTATTAAACCCTATATAATTTTCTTCTTTTAATTACTATCTCTTATTGTTTGTTTTGTGGGATCCATCTTGCCAAGGCCAGATCAGAGAAGATGGGTAAAATAGAGTTGACTTTAGACAAGGGGTCAGCAAGTTATGATTGTGGTCTAAAACCAGCCCACCACTGCACTTTGTAAATACAGTTTCACTGAACTCAGTCATGCCCATTTGTTTAAGTATTGAATGTATTAGGTATCTATGGATGTTTTTGCACTACAGTGGCATAGCTGAGTTATAATATAGGTCCAAGGGCAAACAATACCTGAAATGGTTACCATCTGATTCTTTAAGGACAGATGGTTTGCTGACTCCTGCTTTATTTTTTTCCCCTCTTTGGTACCAGGAATCAAACTCAGGACCTCGTGTCTGTGACGCAGGCTCTGTGTCAGTGAGCTATATCCTGGGCCCAACCCCTGCGTTTGACTCTTGAGGGCAGTAACAGCAGTGCATTCATTTTTGAATTCCTGATAGTGTGTTCTGCACAAAAGAAGTATCTAATAAATATCGGTCACACTGAAAAGGGTAATTCAATTTCTCCTCACCACTGCAGAGATAGTTGGTCCACGCTTTGGAGGGGTGGATACATACTGGTTCCTGGAGGATACACATTAGGAAGAATTATGCTATTATTTATCTCCTCTGGGGAATATGTATTTAGTGGGACACGGTACAGAACCAACACACTTGGTGGGAGGTAGGGAGGAAAGGCCTAACTCAGTGGGGATCCAGGTGAGACCGGGCGATGAGTGACTGGGATATAGTGGAACTGAAGCAGGAGAAGTACAAAAGGGGAGAAGAGCAATGGAGAAGAGGTAATAGCAAACCAGAGGCAATCTGTGCTGGGAGTGAGATCCACCAGTAAGAGTCCTCAGGAAATGTAATGTTGGTGCATCTCATTACCATTCAAATACTTAATAGGATTTTCTAGTAAACCCCTGGGACACAACCTCCATCCTTATTACTATCTCAGAGCACCACTCTTATTCCACTACAGGCACTGCTAGCAATTCTCCAACACAAATATGAATTTCCTGGTGTTACAATTTCTACAAATTTTAGTTCTAAAAATGCCTTTTCTGTGTAAAGGCTTGACAGGAATAAAAACAAAATACCCAGTGAACTGTGGGTGGTATGTACTATTATTACAAAAATAGATGGAACACAGAATGTCAACAATGAGTTTTTAAATATACAAAGGAAAGGAGAAAGAGAAGGAAAAACTTTAAGGTTTTGGCTGTGCTAGTTCCTGTCCTCACCAGACATTGCATTTTGTCAACTTAATCTTGCCTTTATAAAAGAGGTGCCTGAAAACTTGGTAGTGGTAAATGAACACTGAGGATTTATGAGTTTCTGTGGCTGTTACCAACTTACCTGGCTCTAAACTCAGGATCTCTCAGTAGTTCTCCAACTCCAAGACCATTATTACAAAGAGGAGACGATCGTGATATTCTTCTATAGGATTATGTTTATTAATTCTAGTATAATAATATTTTTTTTGCTTCTAAGTCAATAGGCTTCCATGAAAAGTAAGAGATTTTTATCTGGCCTCAAATGTGAAGTTTAGTGAATCTATTCATTGATAAGCCTAATTTTTATAAACTAGTATTGCATCACAGACCTACAAGGAAATAATAATAGATATTTTTCTACTTTTCACAAGCTATATAAGAATTTTTCTTTTTTAAAAATTTTTCTCTGCTCAGAGACCCACTTTATTCAATTCTGTGCATATGAGGACATTGGCCCAAGCCCCACCCATCTTAGCATGTATCACTCTGGAGAATAAAGCACTCTATATACACAGCCAAAAGCTGCACTGCCTGTACCACTGGAATTTTTCTGTTAACTTGGAAAATTGAAGTGTGGAGGAAATAAAGTAGAAACATTTTGGGTAGCTGATGGTTTTTTTCAATGATATAAAAGTTGTTCTACCTGGATCTAGGTCTCAGGAGCAAGAAAAGCAAAAGCACTTCCTGGTGTCTGTCAAAAGCCACTTGTGCCCAATTCTGAGTGTATGTTTATACTTTCGCTAGTTCATATTTTCATGATTTTAGCCATTACTATTTTTAGAGATACCCAATTTTTTGATACCCCATCAGTATCCTCTAAAATATGTTGAATGAATCTCATCTCAGCATCTGGATGCTACAGAAAATGAACAAAGAACAAATCAACAAAGATGGAGGTAACATGTCCAATGTTTTTTTTGGAGTCAGTGGTGAAATTGGCAATAAAACCCCAGCTTTAGTCACTGGGCCATATACTGCTTGAGAGTCAAGTGTTAATCAAATTATGAGACATTTTAATACATACATATGTGATATGTAAAGACAAGGCATTTTAACACATATGTCAGTGTTCACAATCCCAACACGGGCGTGGTATCAAGAAGGCTCTCCCATTCTGTGGAAAACCTGCTGTTCCATCCTGACTGTGTTGCTATTGAGTTTTAAGGTCTTAGAAGATAATATTGCATCCTCAAGATGTTTAATTTCTTTAAGCAAACACACACACGTTATTTCTTTAAGTGGACACAAAGTAAAGTCACTTCCAAAAGGGCATTCTTAGCATCAGGTAGAAGAACTTTAAAAGCTTCAGTGGGTCAGTGTGACTCACGGCTGTGGTTTAGAAGATGACTCTAAGTCAGAGAGAAAGGAAGTGAATTCAGGTTCCATGTGTAAAGTCTTAGCTCAGTTATTTAACTCTCTCTGACTATTTCTTCCTCTGTAAAATGAGGTTCATAGTATCACTCTCTTTGTCAATTGCTCAACATGGCATCTAACAGTAAACAAAACATAGGAACAGGGGACCGGGGATACAACTCAGTGGCAAGGTGCCTGCCTGGCAAGTGTGAGCTCCTGAGTTCAATTCCTAGTTCTAAAAACAAAACAAAACAAAACTAAAGAACAATAATAAAAAAACAATAAATAGTAATAGTTGTTACAACTACTTTTACTAAAATGGAAGAGTTCATAGGAAAAAAAATCAACATCCCATTGGGATGAAACAATCCAATTCTAGAGCAACCTCACTCAGATTTACAAGTCCATTCTGATAGAACCTGAGTTTGGAACTTGTTCCTATGCAGTTACATTCTGGAAACATTTTAGTGTCTGAAATACATCCTTTGATCATCTAGTACACAATACCTCCACCCAACAGAATGGTAGTGAATGTGATGCTATAAAATAGGTGAGGACATAGTAAGCTGCTTGTAATGTGCTATTAATTAAAAAGTAATTTTTCAAACATTGCATATAGTAATTTCTTTTACTTTCATTTTATGTACACATTTTTGCATGAAGAAGAGACTTGAAAGATGCACATAAAATATTATTGATCAGAATCTTTTTAGATAGAAGTATGAGTAATATTAAATTTTCTTTTTATTGCTTTTCTCTAAATTTTCTACCATGAATATGTATTGCTTTGGCAATATAAAACATGAAAGTTATTAAAGAAAAGAGATACAGGGTGATAAAATGATTTTCTAGGTGACCCGAAGTATAATTTTTGAAAAACAAAGAAGAAAATCCAGGGTGTTTTATATGTGGAACTCCATTAGAAATGTGATCCATACCACATAATAAGAGAAACTGGAGTAAGACAATAACAAGATCATTCCAACTGTCACAGCACGGTTTCAGGTTATGGCATTTAACAATTTACCATTCATCTTGGAACAAAGCATAAATATGTGAGCCATGTTATGACCATTTTATGATTTAACAGAAATCCACAGAATTTTTTAGTGTTATTTGATAATTTCAACATTAAGGGAATGTTACAGAAATTAACAGTTTGCTATCTTTGATCCTCCAGGCATGGCTTTGTTTTATACATAACCCTCCATGTTTGGGGCACCAAGCAAAGAAGCTGTCACTTAAACTGGAGGCCTTGCCAGGAATCTGATTCACAAGTTCTGAGTCAGCTCTCCCACCCACTTCTCAGCGTTAGTGACTCTGAGTAACGAAGTCTGCACTTAGTCTAATTAACTCTTCTTTCTCCTTTCTTTTTTTAAATAAAGAGGCACTTCTGTGTTTTCTCACTCCATTTGCAGTGGATGAAAATGGATAGACTCTCACCTTTCTGTTTATCTTGTGGACTGTAGTTGTCAAAGGAATGCAGTATACCACTCTCATTTCGGCTGGAGGTGGCTAGGGCATTTTGACAGTTCTCAAAGCATGGCTTGGAAAACGCCCCACACTCAGCAGTCTCCTGAGGGATAAAAATAAAAATTACATTTGCTTTTTAAACGTCTTCCAACATGATCAATTGAAGAAGAGGAAAAGAATGATCAATTTATGAAGTCTTTCAAGAGTCTCTAGCATGTAAGTCTTCAACAGTGGAAAATCAAAATGGCCCTATCAGTTCAACTATCTATGAATATGGAATAAAAAACATGGACAATGTGGTGTTAAGGATTAGGAGTTCTGATAGCCAACACAAAAGAGGATTAACTTTATTATTCTTTCCCTGCACTTACAACTGGCTTCTTTCAAATTTTTTTCCATCTGGGAGTACAGCTTGTGGCAGTGTCAATACAAGAATGCAGTTCATGCCAATGGTGCTTCTCTGCCAACCAGCTGGTCCCTCTCTTCTGCTCCCTCTCACTGTCCTCAGATACACGCATATGCTCCAGGACAAGTCAGGCTCTGCTGATGAAATGCCACGTGTGTGTCCCACTGCAGACACGGCCAGGTCTTTGGCCAGGAGCTACAGAGAGCTGCAGTGACCATGCCAGACAGTGGTTCTTCTGAGATTTCTTTATTTTTCCACCTCATTTCTCCATCCTATTTGTATTCTGACAGTCTGTAAACAAATTCACAGTTTTCTTCAAACTGCTATATCCAGAATAACACCCCACAAGCCGTCTTTCCACAGGTGCCGCGCAGTACCAGAAGGCAGGCAGCCTCAGAGAACTCGAGCTGCCTTTTCAAGAGGGCGGGGGCACAGAGAAGTGGGTTTCACTCTGGTTCCTAGTATTTGTCTCCATGACAGTTTTCAAGGAAGTAAACATTTTGGAAGTCATTTCATAGAGTTCTTTTGACCATTTATGAGAGGAACATGCCACAAACAAGATCCTTAAAGCTCTTCTCTTCTGGGAAAGAATTTGACTTGAGAAATGCATTTTTTCTTTGCATATATTTATATATTTGCGGGGGGGGCAGTAGTGGGGATTGAACCTAAGGCCTTCAAACTAAGTTACATTGCCAGGCCTTTAAAAAAATTTTTTTTAATATTTAATTTTTGACACGGGGATCTCCCTAAGTTGCTAAATCGCCCAGGCGGGGCTTAAACTTGCCATCCTCCTGCCTAAACCTCTTGGAGTGCTTGGGATTACAAACATGTATCAACTATTCCCAGGTTATATTTTCTTATTAGTTATAAAAATTGAGTGTTCATTACAACAAAATTTTTAAAACATTCAATTTATGCATTTTTAGCAATTAAAATGTTTTCAGCTGCTGAAGATCCAGGCTTTGCACACATCTCCCCACCCAGTGTATTACCTTTAGCCTCTGTACTGCTGGTCAAACAAAGGCAGGGGCAGCAAGCTGCTCCTCAGTTACAACTGAGATTCTAGCAAGCAAGAGAGGTAGGATTTGCCTTGTCTAGCCTTGTGTTTTCATTTAACAATAACAACAAGAACAAAAAATTTTTCTGCTTTCCCAGCTCTTTGATAAATGACACAATCAATATCCCAACAACTGATCAGTAACCAGCCTAATTAAAGTATTCAGCCTGTAAAATAGAGTTGTCGTGGAGCCTTCCATTAGTGTCCTAGCCAATAAAAAATATAATGGATTTTTAAACATTCTGCTTCTAGCAAGATGAGCTGGCAGCAGAGAGGAAAATGTTTTGGGGAAGGGAAAAACAAAACCAGGTCATAACCCATTTTTTAATACCAAGTCTCTAGGCTCAAATAGAATTACAATTGAACTTCAAGCTCATCCTTTGAAAAACATGTTTCTGTTTAAAATGATTTTGATTCAATCAAGGGCTCATTATGTATTCTTCACGAGGTTCTCATAAAAACTGTTTGTGTATCTTGTACAACTTGGTAATGCTGGGGGAGCCAACAACTTTATATTTTGACATTTCTTAAATAGCTTCTTTAATTTTTTAAATATCAATACAGTGCTCAGACAATCACTTTGGCATTCCTGCCAAATCTAGCTAATTGATTGACCTGATTGTCTGAGTGGTGCTGAGACCTGTTTCTAGGTTATGGATGGTTTTTTATTGCACTAGAGGGCAACTGCTGCTGCACAGGATAACACACTAAAATCATGAGTGCACAGCATGTGCTTTGACAGAGTAAAACACAGGTTTGGGAGATCAAATAGCTATGGAGGGTTTTTTTCTCTAAAATTTAATAAAGATAAGCTGTATATTAGGCTGCTGTCTTTATAAGAAATAATGCTCTTTAATCTTCATGGGTACCACAGAAATTCTCAGTAGTTGAGAGTCAAGTGCCTGCTTGCTCCCCATGGAAAAACATGTAAATATTAGGGAGAGAAAATGGATCTTGTTTAAATGTCCTCATAAAAATTGCTTTTTGCCCCAGCTCTTATTCTGGATCAATTCCCTGGTGGACTGTATTAACAAGACACTTCTGAGGATGGGCCAAAAGCTGAAGATTAATACTTTCTTCTGTTGGAATAGTGTCAATCCACTCCAGACTACGGGAATTAAGAGGAAAATATGTACAAATGCCAGAGTGTCTCAAGTACATGAACCAAAGTGCAGCCCACTTATCCACTATCACATATATTTTAGAGAGAGATGTGAAATTAGGGGAAGGGCAAGTTGGGCTGCAGCTAATTCCCTCAGAAGTTAATTCTTTCTTTCTTTCTTTCTTTCTTTCTTTCTTTCTTTCTTTCTTTCTTTCTTTCTTTCTTTCTTTCTCTCTCTCTCTCTCTCTTTCTTTCTTTCTTTCTTTCTTTCTCTCTCTCTCTCTCTCTCTCTCTCTCTCTCTCTCTCTCTCTCTCT